TAGAGGACGCCAGCCGGAAATGACGTACATTTATCTATACATTACAAAGTACATGCCTCGTGTCGAAAAAAACAAAAACAAACCATGGATAGGGAACAATAGATGAAACTACTGAAAATTAATTTACTGTTAAGCTTTACAGTATATTAATATTCGTGCGCGACGCACTAGATTGGATTGCTTTCAAAACTGTTCCATCGTTTCAATTAATTTTGAAAATTCCCTTTAATACAGGTAAAAAGGAAGCAATGTTGGCTTCTCTGACGGCTGACTTTATTAAATAAAAACAGGAAATTCGGCACACTTAAAAGAATCCAAAGGAACCAAAACTTGACTTTCTTATGTTGGCTGACTTCATTAGAAAAATCGGCACATTTGAAAGGTAACAAATTCATTTTTCGGGGTTGTTTGATTTGTAATAAAATAACCTTTGTATTTGATATCCTGTCGAAAAGTTTAAGGAAAGTGTTTACAGCTCGCTCAAAGCTGCGTTTATCCATCACCCAAGCTTATATTAGTTTTTCCAGATGTGATCATAATTTATGATTGCAGGGCAAATAGTATACACAACAATAACATGCTTTAATAACACTTTTGTAACCCATGCTAGCGAAAAGATTATCATTTGCATTCACTGAGGATGTATTTTAAAATAATGATTTTTATTTGCGTGATACAGTCGTATAGTTGACCTGGATTAATACAATCTTGGCCAGTTTGCACCCTATAATGTCATGCCTGAGATATTTTCGTCTCTTTTGTGATTTTGTTATTTGACATAAGCGCTACACACTACAGTAAGGACGCTTACGCAAACCAGCATCCACTACATACACGAGGTTCGTGGGTATATTTTTTTTTCTTTAAAAAATTTCGCATTGTCAAAAAGGAATAAATGATAACAATGCAAGCTTAGTTTCTTTACCTTGCATGGGGGAGGGCACAAATTCAACACAAAATTAATTCTTTTCTTATTTGTATGAAATAATGGAGCAAATATGATTGACGATATTGACTAGTAATGACAATCTTTTAATTTACGCATGCACACTAAGACAACTTGAAAATTAATAAATAAACAATAAAATTAATAAATAATTAATGAAATTAATTGGTAAGAGCATCATATTGCAGCAACATTGACAAAATGCCAAACATTATACTCTCTGTATGTGTGTGTGTGTGTGTATATATATATATATATATATATATATATATATATATATATATATATATATATATATATATATATATATATATATATATTCTGTACATTATTATCTGTTAAGTTTTATTGTTTAATAAATGAATATTGATAATTTGCCCAGAAGACTTAAATGGAGAATGTCGTTATGCAAATGCATATATTTTTTAGCATGAAAAAGGTATATATATATATATATATATATATATATATATATATATATATATATATATATATATATATATATATATATTAATTAGAACGAGCAAAATATGCCTGCGTGTTTTCTCTCCATCATTCTCTTTATATATATATATATATATATATATATATATATATATATATATATATATATATATATATGTCTGTAAGTTGCAAAGTATGATTATTTCCTTTAAAAAATATCAATTAAGTTGAGCCGAAATGACTTTCGAGTTAGGCTGAATTGTCATGGGCCAAATTGACTATAATCCTGCATTAATGATAACATCCTCTCACCCTATTCTATCTCACAGCTTGAGTTCACTTCTTTTTTTTTGGAGGGGGGTAAACAGAGTCTTTCGGTAAAAGAAGGAATCATTTTCCCTTCACTCTTTTGGTTACATCCATATGCAACACAGTGCATCATATTTGCTGTTCAAACGAGCGATCGGAAGATATATCACTTAGATATTTACGTCGGGAAATTAAACACTTGAATGGCTAGGTTGAATAGAAGGGATAAATGTACGTCATATCCGTGTTTGGCACGCGGAAACTGCCGATTGTTTACGGAGATTGCCGAATAATTGTTTCATTTACAAAAGTGGATTTTTAAGTTTCATTAGGCATTTATATGGTGTGCATACATAACAAATGCGTTTTGTTTATGACTATAATAATATCACTCGTTTTTACAATATAGGTGGCCGGTGACCTTTAAAAGGAAAAAGTGATCTTGAAATTCTGGAACATCTTTTAACCCAGTAGAGTGGAAGTACCTTCAGTGGACTCTTTGATTCACGTGTATTTCCTGTGGCTGGAATATTATCACCTTGCCAAGCCAAATATCTATTTTTTTTGTATATGTAATCAAATCTTCGTAAGTGACAGCTACAGCTGAAATAATCAGTTCATAAACCTGTATAACATACTGACGTATATTGCATTGATGTACAGAAGTATTAGCTATCAGCATCCCCAGGCCCCTTTGCTTTAAAAATATTTTTTTCTGTTCTAAATATTTACAAATCTTTTGAACAATATTAAGACCTGAAATTCTATAATGTACCAGCTGTATAATGCAGCTGGTACGACAAATTTAAATTTAACAAAATGAAAAAAGAAAAGTACTAGCTGTCCTTGTAATAAAAGGCAAGGTCAAATGTCTTGTGCATAAAGGAGTTAGTAGGGATCATATGAAAATTCAAGGTGATTGTCACAGTTACCCAAAGCGGGGTGTATAGTTTTAAATGGAACACGGTACGTTTTCGATTTGGTCTGAGGCATACATCAACTCCATAAATACGTGTAACCCCATTTCCAAATGCAAACGTTTCTTGATTTTGTTTCGGCGGTCATCAAATTCAACACTGAGGTCAACATCATCATCTGCAATTAACGCTGTGCTTTTGAACTTACCCGAAGTGTTGGTTTTCCTTTTTTTTTTTAATTAAAAAAAGTTGAATCAGATGTGCATTCTTAGATACTTTTCCGCACCCAAGATATCTTCAAGGAGCGCTCAAAAGGCTAAGTGTCCTTGTTACTGCTCACCAGTTTGTTATTGGTTACAAATCCACTTCGGTGAACAATGCATGAGACGGCTGACGGAAGCCAGGATTGGTGTTGTAAACTTTCAGGCACAAGAGACGGCTATCCAGATCGATGTAATCTTCGCTTTACTCTTTCATTTCAAATTTTATAGGGCTGAGGTAGTGAGAGGATTACAGCATTAAATTCTACCCATGTTGATTTTTGCAACGTTTCATGGCAGGTGGTATGGCAATCGATCTAGATCTGGCTTGGAACATTTTATCTTTTTTAAGATAATAATCAGACAAGTTTAATTATTAAACAGCTGAAACAGCTGCTGTTCTTCTGTTCTAGTTCTTCTGAAAATCTTCGTGTAATCTGAAGTAGTTTCGACGTCTGCTTTTGCCTCGTTCATGTTGTGGCATAGAAGTAATGCCTTGGCCTGAAGTGTGAAGCGAATTGATAGGAATGACTCGGCGACCAAAAAAAAGGTATTTTCCAGTTTCAATCAAACATTTTCCTGCTCTCATGTTCTTTTCAATCGTAATGTTTTGAAAAATTTATTTTCTTTGCATTAAATCTCCTTTTAAAGCATGCAATTTCTAAGTCACCGTCGGTTTTAAGATGTATGCTACCGCACTAAACGCTGATTTTAATTAATCTCTTGACTCGTCTCCTCGATTGATTTCTTTGTACACGTTAAAGCTGTGAAAGTTCACTGGAGAATCGTTCTTGAAAATATAATTTGACCGTGACTTTTCCATTCGAGAATATATTTCTTCTAAGATATCCTTTATAATAATGTTAACAGTGTCCAAATACAATTTATGAACAAAAATATGAGAATTTACAAACTTGTGTTTAACGTGATAACATGTTTTCACCTTCATCGTAAACAGTGATGAAAAAATCTGCTTAGAAAGTAATGTCGGACAACTTTCCCGTCTTCTTCCAGTAATGTGCTGGGTTCCTCGGGAATACACTCGCACATGGTGTGAACAATGTACATGTGGAAAGGTCCACGTGCTGCTAAAAACAGGTTTAAAACATCCTTGGTCTGGAACTCAGCGATCCCCATGCCAACCCCTGCTCTGAAAGCGTCGACTAGGGTGTCTGATAGGGAGTTCAACAGGTGGATTCCTGATGGGAAGGAGTCATCGTTTGCATTTGGATTCCTGATGGGAAAATGGAGTCTTTGTATGCATTGACTCTGGTGAAGTGGACGAGAAATCTGCATAAATGTTGTTATCTATTTCAAGATCCGGTGTGTTGCAGGTATGTTGCTGCTGATATGTCAACTAGCTGGTGTACAACCCGGTATATCATAACAGCTGTTGCTTCTTGGCATCGAGCTGGAGCTCTTCCCATCTCAAATGTTTGAGAATGGTGGAGACACTACTGATCCGTCGATAATCACCAATAGTAAACCGTGATGCCCTCCGTTGTACTGCTTCATTTTCTGGCAATGTTTGTGTTGGTTAGATGGTTCCCAAACGGTTGACGCGTACTCCAACTGTGGGCATACTAAGGATTTATAGCACGTAGCATTTACTTTTTTAGGAAATATAGGCAGATTTCTATGAAACAACACTGTGGTGATGATTCAGATGACATCATATTTGTCAGGATTAAACTCCATTTGCCAGTCTTTTTCCCATAGTTGTTGCCGATCTAAACCTGCTTGTAACAGTTCTGCATCCTGAACCGAGTCGATTACTTTACAGCACTCTGTCGTCAGCAAAAAGACTAACTTGGACATCTACTCCCAACAGCAAATCATTGATATTAGATGAAGAACAGTAGAGGACATGCTAGATAGTTCTTGGGGTACGCCAACACTGACGGGATCTAATGAAGATGACTAGCCTTCTAGCACAACCTGTTGGATTATTCCATCTAAAATGTTGTTTATCAATTCAAGGGTCTTGCCCCGGACACCATAGTGATGAAGCTTTGCTGCAAGGCGCTTATATGACTTTATCAAAGTCTTTGCTGAAGTCGAGTAAGACAGCATGTATCTACTTGTTGATGGTTCTCGCATGATATCTTCTTTCGGAAGCCGACCGCTAGGGTGGTTTAGTGGTTAGAGCGTCCGCTTCGGATGCAGAAGGTCGTGGGTTTAATCCCCGGGCAAGTCGTACCAAACAATTACAAAAATGGTACCAAGAGCTGCCTCGCTTGGCGCTAAGCATTAAGAGGCTAGCATTAGGACTGGTCGGCCTAGTGTCAGGATAATGTGACTTAGTGGGACATCATGATAATTGTCTGCGGAATGATGTCCCAATACTAGACATAACTATAAACTGCCACACTGACGACATTGCAGCGATATGACTGCAAAATTATTAAAGCTACTTACGTAAAAAATCCAAATCACACATACTCTCTCTCTCTCTCTCTCTCTCTCTCTCTCTCTCTCTCTCTCTCTCTCTCTCTCTCTCTCTCTCTCTCTCTCTCTCTCTCTCTCTCTCTCTCTCTCTCTCTCTCTTACCATGTTGTCTTTTATATAGAACGTTACTTTCGAAGAACTGCATCGGGTGACTATGGAAACAAATTGATGTTACAGAAACTGGCATGTATTTGTCGCCTTTCTTGACCAATGGGTTGACGAATTGTTGTTTCCAGTCGTCTGGAGTCAGCCCTTCGACCACATCCAAGTACACAAAAAATAAAGTTACCCCTCCGTTTGGTTAGAACGTCCGTCTCGTATGCCGGAGGTCACTAATTCGAACCCCGGCTGAGTCATACCAAAGACCTATAAAATTTGTACTAGCAGCTGCATCGTTTGGCGCTCAGCATTAAGAGGTTAGTGTTAGGACTGGTTGGTCAAATGTCAGAATAATGTGACTGGGTGGGAAATCGTGAAACATATATAGGGCATGATGCCCCATAGCTAGACATCATTATAAACTGTCACACTGCAGACATCGTAGCGACATGACTGACAAAATGTTAAAGCTACGTTAAAATCAAAATTGCGCATACACACACACACACACACACACACACACACACACACACACACACACACACACTCTATCTTCGTTCAATCCCCACGGATATCCAAAATGATTGTAGGATAGATGTTCATGTAAACGTCTTTTCGTTGAAGCAAGAGCCGTGTATTCACACAGAATATAAAACAAACCCGGTCAAAACGAAATGGCCATTATTATGCTGTCAGTAAAATGCATTTTAAGGCGTTGAACACTTTTAAGGTACTCGCTCGATAAATAAATGCAGACTTTCTCCAGGACTTTGCCAAACTCATCAATACGAACAGCTTCATTCGTTTCGAAGATAAGTTGATTCTTAAAATGATAGCCAAAAGGAATTCTCGTGATATTGGTAGTCAATTAAGGATTAATTGGTGATGAGTTTTGTGGATTCGTTAATAAGAGGATGCTTCATATCCAACTGTTCTTGTATTTGTTTCTTCAGAATATCGACCATGTAACAATCTGATTAAAATCAAATCGCTGTTCTATGGAAAGATCTGACGACGACCACTTAAAGGTCATTTATTTCCAAAAATTGTCTAGGTTATCTTCTTTAATTTTCCTTCTTTAATTTTCCTCCTTATCTCATAATGCCTTCTAAAGTCGTCTTGCAATCAATCCTAACAACAGAACAGCCACTTTTAACAAGAATTTTTCACCATTTATCGGATAAATTTCTGATGTTTTTTTAATCGTTTCTTTTTCTTTAACAAATATATTGTTCCTTTCAAAACATTCAAGCAACATGCATACTCAGTGACGATGATTTATTAGCGACGGTACCATTCTGTCTTGTAGGATATGTTTTTTCTTGAGTCTTTTCTTTTTTGCGTGAACTTATTGCACATTTGCTCTTGTTTTTGGCCTGCTACCGTCTGAAGGATTTGGCATTTTTATTTTAGCTTTGGCATCAGGATAGTATTTTTAAACTGAACGAAAAATAACATCTCTTAAAGATCCATTTCCATTAGGTATCAAAATGATTTGTGGTTTTGTCTGGGTGTCGATGCATGGACCTGGCAGTTTTGACAATGATACTTAATGTTTTTCATAAAAGCGTTTGGTTTGATGGACTATGTGAAGGATACCTAGAAGTAAGTGCTGTGCTGTCAAAGTAATCATTGTAACAATAAAGGAATTGTACAATAATTTCTCGACTCAACGCACAAATATGTTTGGCAGGACGATGTAACCCTTAGGATATCATGTTCAATACTGTTAAAAGAAAAGAAGAAAAAGATTTTTATTAGGGTTTTATTACTTCAGAATGGTGCGAAATGTGACGTACAACAACAAAAGCTTCCCGGTACCAGTGGTGAAACAAATTGGTAGGAAATCTTGAACAGTCATAAGTGGTCGCTTTTAAATCGATGAATAAATATGTATGAGGTGTTTGAGTGGCATCGTCATCCCCATAATTCAGCCACAAAGTTCGTAAAGATTTGACAAACACTTGCTGCTGAGATTTTGTTTGTTGGAGTATTAAACAATACCACACAATGGTCATTGAAACTGAGGGTTCAATGTGTTTTACGATAATGTTTTTTTTTTTCGTGTAAACCAAAGTTAAATTACTTCTTTGTTTTCTCAAAAAGTATACGTTGTCATATTGCCCCAGGCAGAATGCCATTTTGTTCCCATGTATAATCTTTTTTCTATATTACAAAACCACAACCCGGCTTCATCCTGATAGACAATACAACGGGGTTTAGTTCGGAAGCTATCCACTTTCCAGGAGCAATCTTCATCTATATTGCTGTTTTCAAAACGTGGAGTAAAATAACTCTATGGGATTTTGTGTAAACCGTATGCTACTTGTGACGTTGCCGTTGAGTCGTAGAGTCTGTGGAGAGAAGGTGGCTATACCGTGGAGGAGAAGGAAAAAGAGTCTGGGGAAAGAAGTCTAGGAGGAAAAGAAGGAGATTAGTTATGTCGAGGATGAGGAAAAAAAGTATAGAGAAGTCGAGGAGGAGGAGAAGGAAATTGTAGAAAGTCGGGGAGGAAGAGAGAAAGAATTGGGGAGAAATATGAGAGAAAATACACAGATGAGTAGAATACAAGAACAGGTGGAAATCTATCTCACACTAGTCAAGCGATTCAATAGAGCAGTTTAGGGTTGCAAAGGAGTTACTGATCGTAGCGCTTAAAATTACCTCCCTTAGTTCCAATGCGCATGCCCGCAACAAATTTCCAGTTCCGGATAATTCAGAATCTTATCTGTACTACAGATCATTGTGGTTAAACCAATGAATAAATTATGTCTAACATCTTTTGTTCATACTAGGAGAATAATTATAAACATTACATCAGATAATTAGATTCGGTGTCCATACTTACATTATATCCGATAAGTAAATAATATTTACTGTCCATACTTAAATGACATCAAATAATTAAAATTAAATACACTGTCCATATTTATATTATACCAGATAATATATATTCATAATCAATAATTTCGGATACATTTGTAGGAACATTTCAATTTGCTATCCGATTTTAAACATTTATTGCACATTTTCGGCTGCATAACTTTAACTAAAATCATAACAATAATTTGCATTTTTCATAAAGCTGATATATCCTTCTTTCTCAGTTATTTTCTCAGGGCTAATAATTCATTTATAACACGAGTTAAAAAAGCTATAACACGAGTTCAATAAAAAAAAATATAACACGAGTTCAATACGTTAGCTGATCTGAAATGCTGAATATTTTAGACCAGAAATGTTTGGGTTTTGTTAAAATGGAACACAGTATATTAATGTATTCAGAGGTATTTAATAAAGCAATATTTACATTAGCTATTATAAATATAAAGGAATGTAATTAATGCAGATGGAATATTTATTCATTTTTGTGTGTAAATATCGTACAATATTCAGATTATTTAACATGCCTAATGACTTTTTTGTTTCATTTTCTTTTTGGTGGTAGTGGGCGAAGGGTTCTCACATCCTTAAACAATCAAAAAAGTATTTCCTCATACACGTATTTTTTTCTTGCTTTGTCCAGTAAAATATAGCCATGCATTCATTCAACCTAATATTTAATTATTTACATTTCTCGCTGGTTTTCTCAAAATTTGAAACATCAAGCATCGGACGGTGCGTGCAATAACTTTCAGCATGATTTTTCTTTGCCTATGCTGACATGTTGTAAAAAGTTAACTCTAAAATTTGCTGGAGTCTTTAGACAACATTTCTTATTGTCATAAATTCATCTGAATAAAGCTTTCTTAAAGTTAGATTAATTCTATTTGATTTTCCATGCATAAAATATGTAAGTTTAAAATATCCAATTATTTCACAGATTCGCAGTCCTATTACTTTGGTTCGTCTTCTAAATCAAAATTAATCCACGTCACCGGATACAAAAGTGCAGACAGGATGATTTAAAAAAACAACTGTCTTGTAAGAACATGCTCTTCAAGTCAATAATAAATGGATAGTCACAAATATTCATATTTGTGGTCTTTATTTATCAGTCACTCTTTCTCTTTTAGCACCATTATATGCTCGCTTTTAACCAGGAGTATATTTATGTAATATACATATGCGAACACATTCATTAAAGCATATACATACATATACATATCCATGCACCAGATGAAACGAGATAGACAGACATATAGACAGACAGGCAGATAGGTGAGAGCCACAAATGTCATATACATACATAGTGTCTAATATCAATATTTCTCCAAATTGTATATTCTAAATATTCCAACCGTTGAAGGAAATAAAATTCAAATAATCATCAAGGAGACTCGTACGTTCGTCTAACCGATCAAGCGTGCATAACATTTGCGCATTTTGAAGAAAAAATCCTTCCTAGAAAAAACTCAATTTATTTCATGAAAAATATAATGAACATTAATAGAAATTCAACAGTCTAAATCAATAATATATATATATATATATATATATATATATATATATATATATATATATATATATATATATATATATATATATATATATATATATATATATATATATATATATACACTGCATACTATTATTGTTTTTTTTTTCTTCCTTCTTTTAATTTAATCATGGTAATAAAACTTTACATATACATTTGAGAAATGTCAGGTGTTAAGTGGCCGAGATTCTCTTCCGGAAATGGAGATGCGATTTTG